ATTACCGTATATAATAGTAATAACATGTATAACAAACTCAAATTTTTGTAATAATTAATTAAACATAGCAAGCTAAACGAAATACGTGATACACAGTCGATGTATTTAAATGGGGTATCTAAAAAATAGAGGTAGAACATCGTACATGCACGCCCATTTAGTCTAATCCAACTGTCTCAGTGTCAAATCCTTTAGTTTATATTGTCTCGGTGATGGGCAATTTAATATTACAATATTGTAGCCGGTTTCCGCGATGTAAAATTCGGTTTACAATTATGAACCTGATATTCCTCTAATTAGACCAAATGGACAGAAGAAATTAAACCAACGGGAACCAGCTAGCATTTAATGTATTCTAACATTACGTATACATTTAAAATAAATATTTCACTAGGGAAGTACCACGTGCGCAACCCGCGTCTGCCACACCACACCACCGCGCGTGCGCATATGTGTATATACAATAAGGTATTTTAAATTTAGTTTATGTTTTAAACAGTGAGGGTGAGTACGTTCTGTGCAGTAGTACCATATGACAACAGGCGGAGTAGCTTTTGTTACACGCACACTGCTGGTAGCAAAGCAATTCCATATGATGACATAAATACATAGGCACCGTGATTATCGCTACGTAATTTCTGACAGTTCGCTGTCGTAGTGACCATGGAAGGGGACGACTATATGTACACAAGCGCTTACATCTACTATACGTGTATATGCGAGCCGTGGCTGTGTAACTTCACTTTCAATGATAGCTACGATAGCTCAGAAGATAGTTCATTTTTTGACTCGGATTACGTGTTTGATGACAGCATTTGCGGCAACAACGATAGCGATGAGATACCCTTTGCTAGAAGGATAATATTGATCATTGTCTACGCATTAACCGTGATGGTAACGATCATTGGTAACACTACAGTCATTGTGGTACTGTCATGTGGATCCAGAAGCATTTCCGAATTGAATAAATTCATCATCAATTTGGCTGTAGGAGATATGATGATGGCAATATTTTGTATGCCATTCACGTTCGTACATGGATTACTACGAAGATGGGTCTTTGGCGAAGTTATGTGTCCATTGGTTCTCTTCCTGCAACAGGTTAGCATTACTTTGAGTTTAATGTATTGCTTTACTGAATTTTTTTTTGCATGCTCCCGTTTTATTTGTCAATGAAATAACGGAGCACATGCTCAAAGTGAAAATTAAATTTATTTTTGAAATCTCAAAAATCGCCCCCAAAACAGTGAATGCATTGGGGATAGGCCAGCTATTCAGTTGAGGATGGCAATTTTACCTTAATTGTTATTACACGCGGGACCACATACACTGTTCAGGAAATATCACAACGTCCATGCAAATCAACACTGAATGTCGTGTCGAATATTCCCGGATAAAGGACTAGGGAAATTGAAGGCAAATCGCAAATTACGTTGGCACTGTGGTTAATCGCTGACAATCAACTAACAATTAATTCTCACAATGAACGAAGTATTCGTTTACGCGTTAATGGGCGTTCTCAGGCTCCCCGCATCACGTGTATACACGTTCATGGACTATTGTTTTTGTCTTCACATGTATATACTTCTTACATGTTATATACACGGCTAGAGCATGTCACATTTATTTTTTGTTCTCGTACTCACTACGGGCAAATCTAGTGATTTGCTATTGACAAATAACATCGGCGATGTGATCTCGGTGCAGGCTGCACAACTATTTCAACTAGGAATTATGTCATATATTTATAGACATATAGGACGTGTCGCTGAATCTCCTCTATCTTGCAGGTACTCGGCGACTTGGCAGGGTGAGTGGAGAGGGCGAATAATTCGATACCGGACTGTTTTATGAAATGCACACCTAAAACGATTTGAGTCACATTTCGGACCGCTCGTTGTTCAAGTTCAAGTTGGCCACTTTGCCCCAATCCGTAGGTGACCTCGATATATTTTATAAAATTTACGAGCCTATATTCTCATAAATAAAAATTAATTACAATGTTAGCCCCATATCATGGAATAAAGTTCATATTGCATTTCGTCCCCAGCGAAGAGGTTGGTCGAATTAGTTATGATAGTACCTGTTTATTTCACATCTTAGGCGCTTCAAAGTACAATAGTCTTGTCACCCGCTTTTATACTTTATTTTATTTATACTTTATTTAACGATGATAGTTTAAGTTACAACTATTATTGTGTAACTAGTGTCAGGGCAACATTTACAGAGTAAATGAGCGAAATATCTATACGTTCACACCCGATCGCATTAGTTGTCATAGTTACATTAATAATTATTTATTTACATATAAACATTCACGATATGCATGCTTGGAACTCAGGAGTGTGGTACAATTCCGAATACTGATGAAGTTGTCGTTCTAGATGCCCAGGGAAGAACCATATAAAGAGGTTCTCTGACCGATGTTAAATATAAACTCGATGATATAAATGTTTTATTAGCCAGGCGAGTGAGCAGGTCATGGGTGTCATTGGTGCAACTTAATAATTTGTTCAACTAGGGTGGGGTAATATTATTCACCATTGTATATATCATAAGAGCCGTAAAAAATCAAATTGTTGATACACAAATAAAGTTTAACTGCACTGAAGACAAGCAACTGCCTTTTCGACTACTGTTGGTCACATGCTAGTGAGATCACGTGACCGTGGTTTACATGCTATATCGTTATAGACAAAGCAGGTAATTTATGCCAGTAACAGAAAAGGCAGAATTGATTAAAAGTAATAGCCACCCTTGACTGAGACTATTTAGGTCGTCCATACGTCAATGGATTGGCGGCAATGAACTGTTGAACGAAGCTAATTGTGGCATTTCAGTGACAAATATTGCATTTCGGTATGAAATAAAACTACGCCTCGAATTCTGTTTAACTTTGACAGCGAGTGTTTTGCTAAACGGTATTTTCTAATATGCTCAAGTAGCAGAGGCTGATGTACGTCGTACGTTTTCTTACAATAAACATTATGTTCAACGCAACTAAGGGTTATCAATGTTTCTAGTTGCTGTTCTGGATAGCTGGAGTAAGATTAGATATGTATTATACTATAATGCAGATATGACGCGTCGTGTTCATTGAAGGTCAGCTGGCGTACAAATGATGATAAAATAAATTAGATTAATTTACCGATATTCACTACTAGTATATGGATTACTGCTTGGTACTAAATAAATGAACAATTTGTGGAACAAGTTTTTCAAATTCTTACAAATCATGAAAAATATCAAACTTTCACAGCTGGTTCGTTTGGGCAATATTAACAAAATACGGCCGAATTCACTTTCACGGGCTTTTGAAACCGAAACCTTGTCATCTAACTGTAAGGCAGTCGCTGATTGGCTTTTGATTTTCATGACGAATTCGGTTTTAAAACCCCGAAAAAGTGTATAATTTTCTTAGTGTAATAAGTGTTCAAAAAACCCGACGAAATCGGCCGAATTTTGTTAGTGGTTAGCTTAATGTTGCCTGAAAGGACTCGGATCGTTTGTCTGTGAAAGTTAAATATTTTTTATGGATTTGTAGGAATCTGAAAAACTCATTTCTCAACTTGTCTCCTTATTTAAAGCGGGAGAGTCGTCACCTGCGCATGCGTCAGATGGCCATAGCGTGTCATTGTTTACAAACAAATGTCTACCCACGAGCCTTTGCGTTTTTAGCGTGTGTTGTTATCGTCGCTTGGGACTCAACTCCCGCGCGTGTGCAGGTGACGACCCTCCCGCTTTAAGATGACTGTCCCATATAGTAAATGTTAGTAAATTAATCCTATTTATTTTTTATAATTTGTTCCCCAGCTGACTGTGTATGTGGCATGCCATATATAGTGCGTGCAAAATAAATTGTTGGTTAATTGCACGACAATCGTACGCCACAAGACGAATGTGTACTTCTAATATATGTCAAAATACACCGATATGCGTTTATTTCACACAAATCACCTACCAAGCCGTTAGTTCTATCGTACTTGGTAATAAAATTATGGGTACGTTGGAAGATTGTTATGCGCTAGCTTCACGGTAACCGTTTTTTTATATAAAAATAATAAAGTGAAAATGGTGTAACAACGGACAGCATATCTTTCAATACACGATGTATTGAATTTTATTCATATGTTGTATTTTTCACATTTTTCAACCATGCTCAGTGGATTGTTTTTAGTTGATATTATTCTCCGATTTTCCCGTCAATATTTGCATATGGGTTCAGCTGTGGTAACAACTAGGGTACTTTAATTGTGAAAGTATATGTGTCTGACACGTGTTGTTTGTTGTTGTGTCACAGCAAGGATTTTTAGGAAACAGAATATAGCGCATGGATATTATATGTTTAAAGGATTGCGACATCACCTCCACATTGTCTACATATCTGAAAAAAAAAAACGTTTCAACTACTAGCTAATAGAACGTTATCCCTGGAATAATGGTTTTAATCTTCTCCACTATCCCCTTCTCTGCACTGACTAATGAATCTAGTTTGGATGGGTATGACCATACAAGCATATGTAAGTCGTATAATCCATTTTTGTCAGAATAGAAAAGCTCGGTGACCTCAAACCATGTTGTTTATCGTCACGAATGCGGGTATACATGTACATCTTTAGATAAGAGACTAAGGATCACTAGTAACGCATGCAGATTAAGTTGCTCCACGGTGACAGTTGATTCGAATCCAAGAATCAATGTAACACAAATGTAGGCCTTATAATAAACCTACCACAATGAAATCAATAAACTGTTTTCTGATTGATGGGTGTATACTTGGAAATGTACTAAATTGGGTGCGGTAGATGCTATTTTTTTAGTTCAGTCTGTTTTGAAAGGCTATAGAGTTTGGATAATTTTTAAAACTAGAATTATACATGTTTTAAGTGAGGGTTTAGGTGCAAAATAATGAGGGTCGAAGTGACAAAAATAGACAAAATAAAATATGGTTACAAAACTATTGGGACATACCGCCTCGGGTGTATCCGTTGATATCGATAGTTTGGTGAATTAACAAAGTTCGGATCCTCCATGACTTTTGGGTGATAATCTTTCATTGAAAGAATGTTATTCCAGACAATTTCTAATGATATAATGAGTGACCCATAATAGTGGATTTTTTCTAGTCATTTTCATACGACATGATATTATATATCGTCAACAGAAACTAACATTACAATTTGTGTGTGAGCGTCGACAGCTTCTAAGTTGTAGCACGGCTTCACACATAAGTTTTGAACCCTGAACACAATTGTACAGTATAAAATAATTAATTTTTGGAGTGGTCAATATATCCCTTGCTATAACGACACGTTGGCAACCTTTTAATTCAACTTGAGGTACGTGTACTCAGCGGTTAAGGTCTCCGGACATCCTACGAC